GCTGCCAGCGCTGTACAGCACTTTAAGATTGAGCCAGAGTACAAGCTACCGCTTCTGGACGCTCTGGCACCGTACATTGAGGTTGACGCCAGTAGGCACCCAGAGGCGCTCATCTATGGCAAGCAAAGCATCCACATGCACCGCTTTGTAGACGCACTTGAGCGCATTGGCTGTACAGCGGTCAGAGTGCAGGCTTATGGCATGAAGAGCCGCCTTTCACTGGTCGACATAGCGCTCTTTGGCAATGCTGACCATGAGCTGGCAGAGACCAACACCTGGGACCTCGGCGTCATGTGCCGCACTGGGGCTACTATACCGCTCTTCAGGACTCAAGTGCGTGGGGCGCCAGGAACGCGCACCTTTCCCATGTTTCTTGGCGCTGGTCAGGGCTTTGGATCAGTGGATGTGAAGCTGGAGTACGCCGAGCTGCCGTACAGCGTCAAGATCTACCCGCGCTTTGTTCACCGCCTCAAGGCGCAGGCAGCCAAGCAATACCGCTTTGATGCGCACACCATGATCACAGCCAAGCGCACCTTGACTTCTCTCCAGAAGCGCCACAAGGCACTGGATGTCACCTCAGAGACAAACCCAACTGTGCTGGGAGGCTACAGGGTGGAGGTCACAACCACAGCAAGGACGCTCAGAGATGCCATACAGCAGCTCTCAACAACGCCGCTCTTGAGCCTGGATGAGTGGAAGAAGCCGCTAAGCAACAACCTTGAGCTACTTCAAGTGCAGGTCTTGGACGCTGACTGGGAGGAGATAAGCGCCCAGTTCACTGCTCTCTCAGCACAGATCCGGCGTCTTGGTCTCTTTGCCAAACAGAATGCAACCAAGGTGCGCTCATTGCACAAGAAGATCCTCACTGACATGCAGAATGCGCTGGGCTGGAACCCTGGAACACGCACTCCAATGCTGTTCACCAACAAGAGTGCCTGGTGGCACCTCAGCAGCTTGCCTCAGCCTCAGCGCACCTTGCCTCCTTCCACTGGCGCCCCAAGTGCTCAAGGACACCAGGCTGCAGACAACACAGCGCTGCCTGTCTCCTCTGGGCGCTGGCAGGATGTTGATCTGTCTAATCTGCAGGATGTGGCGCTGTTGAGGGAGCTGTTCCACCTGCTCAAAGAGAAGATGACGTGCGCTGCTTGTCAGCATCCTCAAAGTCGCTACACAGCAAACTGGTCCCGCACCCTGACTGGACAGCAGCGCATCAGGTGCAACAGGAAGCCAAGAGGCGGCCCCTGCAGCACTCCAGATCTCTATCTGACCAAGGAGCAGGCGCTTTTGAGTGCCTGGGTGAACAGGCTAAAGGTGCCTCTTGACGCCAAATTCCTGGAGGCAGCACAAGCAGCACCCAGAGGCGTTCAGCAAGTGGAGCAAGATGCAGGGCTGGGTGCTCCTCAGCGCACCACAACTGCGCCAAGGTCTGCTCCTGCTCAGCGCACTACATCTGCTGGTGCACCAGGCGGCGCTGCAGCTCAACGCACCACAACTGCACCTGGGTCAGCTCCTGCTCAGCGCACTACAACTGCTTCTGCACCAGACAGCGCTGCTCTTCAGCGTCCACCAGTGCCTCATGTCTTTGCCAACGGGGACACCTTGACGCTGAGCAACGGCATGAAAGCGTCAAACTTCATCAAGGGTGATGGCGCCTGCCAGTTCCGCGCTTGGGCGCACTTGCAGTATGGAAACCAGCAAAGGCACTGGTTTGTGCGGCGCTTTGCAGCGACCTGGCTCAAGAACAACAAGCACCTGATGGAGGAGTACTATGCTCCAGAAGCGCCAACCAGGCTGGATGGGCGCCAAATTGTGGAGTCCAAGAGCGCCAAGGGGTATGATAGCATGTGTAAGGCGCTGATGGAGAAGGGGAGCTGGGGCCATGAGTACTCCCTTTGTGCGCTGGTCAACTACTTTGAGCAGCCAGCGCACATCATCCAATACAGCGCACATGAACAGCGCTGGACAGGGATGGTCATTGAGCCCTGGCATGCGCCAGATGGCCCAGCAAAGGCGCCATTCAGGTTTTACTTTGACGCTGCTGGGAAGCACTATGAGGTGATGCTTTAGCGCACACAATGAACAGTGCTGACTTGGAGAGCGCTGTACTGTAATGAGCATGACTTTGGTGATAGGATGTGCGGCGCTGTGTGGTGCATGTTGCCTGAGAAAGTGTGCCATGTACAGGCGTTCTGTTGTGTTGAAGCTTGACAGAGCGCTCTGCTGCAAAGGTCCTAGGTGTTTAAGCACTGGGCAGCGTCAAAGACATGTCGAAGCATCAGCTAGAGCGCTGTCCAGGTATGAAGGTGCGCTGTGCTGCAAAGGTGCATGGTGTGCAAGCGATGTGCAGTGCCCAAAGACATATTGAAGCGTGGGCTAGAGCGCTGTCCAGGTATGAAGGTGCGCTGCGTACACCACAGAAGCGTGCCTAAGCCAGATGTAGAGCGCTGTACAGCAGAGCAGACATGCTGTGACACAAATTGTGCTGCATTGTGGAGTGTCCCTGGACATACAGCAGCTGACATCTAGTACGGCGCCACACACACACACACCCACACACATGCACACGCACACAGATGGTTTGATATTTTGGGTTAGGGTTAGGGTTACAAGGGGGTCCCCAATAGGGTTTTTGGAATTTGTGTTATAGGCATCTAGAGGGGCCTCAGGAGAGCCATTTGGTAAAGCAGCGCCCAAAACCCTACAGATTTGACGGCGTGAGGTCCATCTAACCTTGAGATGGCATGGTTAGAGTGCCTAACTTGGTCATCTTTGAGAAAAGTGCTCCTTGTCTGTTACAGTGACTTACATGAGGCTGTGGCATGAGACTTTCTGGAATTGGATTGCACAAAAGTCTCTCAGGGATGACACAAAGTGCCTCTAAGTTCAGCTTGGTACCTTAAGTTCAGTCATCTTCAGCATACTTGACACAAGTTGAGGATCAAGTTGAAGGAAGATGACCTGATGTTGGCTCATGTTGCCTGAACTTGACACAACTTAGTGTGGGCACTGAGGGGGCAAAGGGGGGACCCTTTGGATTGAGGACAGATGCCAAAAAGTGTGCTTAGGGGTGCATCTTCAGGGAAGTTCAGCTCCAGAAGGAGGAAGATGAACCAAGATGAGGGAAGATGGCCTGATGTTGGCTCATGTTGCCTGAACTTGACACAACTTGTGATGAGCATTGAAGGGCAAAGGGGGGACCCTTTGGTCTCAGACCAGATGGCAGAAGTGTGTGGTGGTGCAACTTCAGGGAAGTTCAGCTCCAGAACAAGGAAGATGCAGGAAGTTGAAGGAAGATAAACAGACATGGGCTCATGTTGCCTCAACTTGACACAACTTGTGAGGGGTACTGAGAAGCAAAGGGGGGACCCTTTGGTCTGAGACCAGATTCCAAAAATGTGTGTGGTGGTGCAACATCAGGGAAGTTCAGCTCTAGAAGGAGGAAGGTGAACCAAGATGAGGGAAGATGGCCTAATCTTGGCTCATGTTGCCTGAACTTGACACAACTTGTGAGGGGTACTGAGAAGCAAAGGGGGGACCCTTTGGTCTTAGACCAGATGGCAAACATGTGTCTGGTGGTGCATCTTCAGGGAACTTCAGCTCCAGGAGGAGGAAGATGAACCAAGATGAGGGAAGATGGCCTAATCTTGGCTCATGTTGCCTGAACTTGACACAACTTGTGAGGGGTACTGAGAAGCAAAGGGGGGACCCTTTGGTCTTAGACCAGATGGCAAACATGTGTCTGGTGGTGCATCTTCAGGGAACTTCAGCTCCAGGAGGAGGAAGATGAACCAAGATGAGGGAAGATGGCCTTATCTTGGCTCATGTTGCCCAAACTTGGGTGAACTTCTGATGGCCACTGAGGAGCAAAGGGGGGACCCTTTGGATTGGAGGCAGTTTGCAGAAGTGTGCCTGGTGATGCATCTTCAATGAAGTTCAGCTCCAGAAGGAGGAAGATGAGCCAAGATGGGGGAAGATGAACAGGCATAGGTTCATGGTGTCTGAACTTGAGAGAACTTCAGATGAGCATAAAGGGGGCAAAGGGGGGACCCTTTGCTTTGAGAACAAGTGGCAGGCAGTGTGTCTGATGGTGGAACTTCAAAGAACTTGAGTTTATCTTTGTGTTCAATGTGGGAAGTTGCAGCAAGTTGAAGAGCCATGAGCAAACATGTGCTCATGTCATCCAAAGTTGAGGGAAGTTCTGAGGGGTTACCACTATCACAGATGAAGTTCAGGGAACTTGAGCTATTGGACTGATGTTACACATGAAGTTCATGGAAGATGAGCTGGGTGACCAGGATCTCACATGTGATTGACAGAAGGCAAGCTGTTGCAGTGATATCTCTCTTGAAGTTTAAGCAAGATGAGTTGTTGCAGTGATATTTCTTCTGAAGTTGAGGGAAGATGAGGTGTTGCAGTGGTATCTTGCTTGAAGTTGAGATGTTGCAGTGATATTTCACCTGAAGTTGAAGGAACATGAGCTGTTGCAGTGATATTTATGTGAAGTTGAGGGAAGATGGGCTGTTGCAGTGATGTTTCACCTGAAGTTGAGAGAAGATGAGCTGTTGCAGTGATATCTCTCTTGAACTTGAGGTGAGACTAGCTGTTGCACTGTTATCTCTCTTGAAGTTGAGGGAACATGAGTTGTTGCACTGTTATCTCACATGAAGTTGAGGTAAGATGAGCTGTTGCACTGCTATCTCACATGAGATGTGCTGAAGTTGAACTCAAGTTGACTCAAGTTCTCTCCATTACAGCTGATACCACTCATATTTCACCTGAAGATGAAGGAACATCAGGGAAGTTCAAATGATGAAGACATATTGCACTTGAGACTGCATGAATGCAGGGGCAGCAAATGAGACAGAGTAGAGTGGTCTGCACATGCAGCCTATACACAAGACTTGGCATGAGATGACTACATTCACTGGAAGATGAGAGAAGTTGACTGATCTTTGCAGAAGTTGCCCTGCATTTGGGAGGAGTTACTGCATCTTGACTCAACTTGAGCTCATCTTCAGTGAAGATGTGGTGGCAAATGAAGAACTTTGCTGAACTTCTGCATGTAGTGAACATCACCCAAAAACTGGCCCAAAAGGTATATATAGAGGGGGTTTTGTCTCCTTATTTTCTTCCCCCCATCACCAGCACTTTTTCCATCTCTCTGCCAAATCCATCTGCTGCCTGAACTTCACCTCAACTTCCTGTTATTGTGCCACCCACATCCCCAAACTCAGCCAACTTCCCTCAACTTCCCTAATCCTCCTGCAACTTCCAGCAATCAGCAGTCTCAGCACCTGAAGTTCAACCAAACTCTCCTCTTTGAGGGTGAAGTTCCCTGAACTTGAGGTGTCCAGCCTAGGTGAGTGCATGTGTTCATCAAAGTGCAGCTGAACTTCTTTTTGCTTGATGAAACTTGCTGACAGGTTGGTGAACTTCCAGCACTTTGTCCTCACTTTGGGTCAAGTTTCCTCATCTTGCTTGAACTTGAGTCTCAGGTGAGCCTTACTGAGACCCATTTTGTGCATAGTCAGCCAATCAGAAGCTGAATTTGCCTGAACTTCCCTGCTCTTGACTCAACTTCACCAGAACTTCAAGTGAATTTGAGGCAAGCAGGTCTCAACTTCAGCCCAACACCCAGCATCTTCTGTGAACTTCAAGCAAGCACCATCCAGCACTCCTCAAGAGTACCAGCAGATTGAGGTTCTGCCAACTTTTGGTCTTTGGAGGTGAAGTTCCTTGAACTTGAGGTGTTCAGCCTAGGTGAGTGCATTTGTTTATCAAGGTGTAGCTTAAGATCCTTCTACTCTATAGAATTTGCTGACAGATTGGTGAACTTCATGCACTTTCACCAAACTTTTAATCATCTTCCATCAACTTGCTTCAACTTCAGGCCCAGGTGAGTCTTGTTGAGGTTTTAGGGTTAGGGTTAGGGTTAGGGTTACATACGGGTTCAGGGTTAGGGTTAGGGTTAGGGTTAGGGTTAGGGTTAGGGTTAGGGTTAGGGTTAGGGTTAGGGT